AAAAAAATTGAATCGTAATTTCCTGTCGATATGCACATCTACGTAGTATGTCCTTATTATCTGAAAAGGTTTCATGAAATTCTGTTGTGTGGTTTGAGAGGAGTTGCGATGACAAAAGGTCGCAGTAGTATATTGGGCAAATAAGTTCAAAGGGGCGTAACTCCTGGAAACAAAATTGAATCGTAATTTCCTGTCGATATGCACATCTATGTAGTGTGTCCTTATTATCTGAAAAGGTTTCATGAAATTCTGTTGTGTGGTTTGAGAGGAGTTGCGATGACAAAAGGTTACAGTAGTATATTGGGCAAATAAGTTCAAAGGGGCATAACTCCTGGAAAAAAAATTGAATCGTAATTTCCTGTCAATATGCACATCTACGTAGTATGTCCTTATTATCTGAAACGGTTTCATGAAATTCTGTTGTGTGGTTTGAGAGGAGTTGCGATGACAAACTGTTGCAGAAGTACATTAAAGTAAATAAGTTCAAAGGGGCGCAACTCCTAGAAAAAGAATTGAATCATAATTTCCTGTAGATATGCACAACTACATAGTATGTCCTTATTATCTAAAAAGGTTTCGTGAAATTCTGTTGTGTGGTTTGAGAGGAGTTGCGATGACAAGAAACAGGACTGACGGACTGACAGACGGACAGACGGATGGACGGACGGGTCAAAAACATTATACCCTCCGCAACTCGTTGCGTGGGGTATAATTATGAGCATATATAAGAGAGAATTATTTAACAATAATTAGAGGTTAATGAAATTATTGCAACTTCTATAAATTTTATACATGTAGTATAATTTATCATAATACTATGAGTTTTCATCATTTTGTTGTTTGCTGTCTCATTTTTTCGCTTTAATTTCCAAATTAACAGTTTATGAGAATTACATATATTTGCCATAATTTTGATTCACCATGAACTTAAAAAAGTTCATAATTTCTACACAATATTAAATAACATTTGTTGAAAACTATATTTCTAGTTTTGTTTTTGTACTATTAAAAACACCTTCAAGGTTATGGCAGTAGAAAAAAAGTATGTTGATAAACAAGCATGTGAGTGTTGCACAAAAATAGGAAAAAATTACTGTACCAGTATCTGATTCACAAAATGTGTTTAGAGAACAACAGTTCTAATGTTCATCAAGGTTAAGAAATCAATCTTTTTCAAGAACAAGAATTGAAGGAAAATAATTTTTTACATATATGTGAAGAAATTCACACCTTTCTTATACAAATTTGTCTTTTTGAATTACAAAGGGTCTAATTGCCTCTCTTTAAACTTCTTAATTTGTTTCTGTGTAAATTCAGAAAGCAATGTTTTATAAGAATTGCACAAAACTATCTAGCATAACCGTATGCATGCGAAATTTAAAATCTAACATAATAAATGCCATTAAACTGGCATAAAACAAAAACAAAAATAACAAAAATATTTATCTCTCAATGTAATGCCCAATAATACAACATAATGCCCTTAAATTTCTGGAAGTAAAAAACATATTTTCCCAATAAAATGTTCATTCAGAATTAATACAGCACTGAAATAATCAATAATAAGGTGATAGTAATTAGAGAATCAGAATATAAATGCAAAGATTTAATATCATGTTTTTCGTCCATACAAAGTTTTTCACATTGAAATGTATGTATCTGAATCTGTAATATATATGTCCAATCAAAAGCCTTTATTGGGACATCAGCAGTGAAACATGTACTGACAAAACAAGGAAAAAAAGGCAATGACCATAAAAGGGGTTAAATTGTGGCACTTACCAAACTTACTTCTTTGGTTTTCTAGGATTTTTTTGGTTTTTGTAATGGTTGTGATCATACTTTCATTTAAAAATTGTCCATTGAATAAAGAGAACAAATCACAAAAGCCATTAGAGAAGGCCTTACGTAATCATAAAATTATACAGACCAATGTCTAAATTTAGGAGGGAGCCAAACTGAAGAATGGCTGATAGCTTTTTATTTGACTTCAAAAATGCTCCTAAGGACCTGAATAAAAGATGGCAATTAAATTAAGGTCATCTGAACATTTCAGACTTTGTATAGACATATTTCACTCGACATGCACTGTATGAAAATAATCTCGTTGTAAACAAATGCCCTGTTTTGTTTTGCGACAGCTTGGTGAATAATAAAATAAAGATTAAAAAAAAAGTCATATGTGCACTTAATGCCCTTTTATACACTATCAATTGGCAAGGAATGATTTTCTTGAAATGCTATTGGTTTATTTTTTATTAATGGAGTACAAATTTTCGTTGATTTCCTGAATATAGATGACCCACAAGTTTCAGTGTTTAACAAAATAAAATTTTCTTATGGACTTATACACAAATCTTGTCAAAACCATGAAATGAAGTATCCACAAAAAATGGAACTTTTTCTTAATCCATGAAAACTGGTACCCTAAATAAAAAATAAACCAAATCCACAGTAACAGTTCCTGAGAAATTTTGAATATCAAATATTTACCCAACTTGATAATTTCCTCAATATGTATCATTTATAAAATTCATAGTCATGTATTAAAAAATTATCCCAACAGTCATCTCTCAACCAAGCTTCATTGAAATATTACCTATAAATTGCTTCGCTGAGCGCAGCTGGATACGACCGCAGATGTCCAACCCTGAAAAGTTGCGGCCAAAATGGACACATTATTCGCGCTTGATACAGGTCTGAATTTGGATTGTAATTAAATATTTGACACATAATAGGTTTCTGACACAGAATAAGTGTAGTCAAAGAACTTAAAATTGGTTATATGATTTGAATTTATATTCAATTTTTTGCTTTTGTGCAATACACTATGCTGTTGCAAATTGCCCCCCCCCCCCCCTCCACCCAAAAAAAAATTACGTGTTTTTTTTGCTTTTGTGCAATACACTATGCTGTTGAATATTAACCCCCCCCCCCCAAAAAAAAAATATTTGAAGAAATTTTCTTATTTTAAAATTTCTGAAATCTGAAATGAGAAAAATTGTAGCCCCCCCCCCCCCCAAATTTTTTCAACTCCCCCTTTCCCTTATTCCAAAAATAATATCAATTCAAATTTCTAATGGAGTTTGCAACCATAACTACTCATTTAAATACATCATAAAATATTAAAATATAAAATGACATACAGTCATGGTTAAAATTAATATTAATTAATAGTAACTTCTAAAAATAAATTTACAGCTAATCATCTCAAGACAATCATCATTTATTAATACATAATTTACAAGCAGTGTATGGGAGGTAATCAAACATATATACAACAGTATTCTTTAAATGGATTGGATTACCTCCCTTACACTGTTTTTAAATTGTCTAAATTGACCTTTAACCATAAAAACCCTTGTTTTTCCACCCTTTTTGCCCCTAATTGCTAAATGGTTTGAGCCATAACCCCCCATAACCATCCCTTTGTTGTATGGAAACTTGTGGTATAATTTCAGAGAGATTCATACACTTAAACACAAGTTATTGTCTGGAAACTGCAAAAATGCTTATTTGGGCCCCTTTTTTGGCCCCTAATTCCTGAACCTTTGGGACCATAACCCCCAAAATCAATCCCAACCTTCCTTTTGTGGTTATAAACCATGTGTTAAAATTTTATTGATTTCTATTTACTTATACTAAAGTTATTATCCGGAAACCATCTGTCTTCTGACGACGCTGACGAAGACGACGACAACGTGATACCAATATACGACCAAAAATTTTTTAATTTTTGCGGTCGTATAATAAAAACTGGCCAGAAATGAAATTCTAATTAAAATATATAAAATAAAAATGAGGTCATTTCTTGAGGTAAGAGGTAACAAATTCTGGCTATTGATTGACTTCTTGTATTTTGTTTTTGAAAAAATATATTTTCATAAAGAGATTAAGGTGGTACCAAACACCTTGACTAAAATTAATTTGGCTAGTTTAATTTTCATAAAATTTTGACAAAATATTTACTTTGACCCTTTGACAAAAATATAAAAATTTCAAAAAACTTGAACCACACACTTTATCGCATTTCATTGGATATTTAGCAGTTTGACCAACACTAATTTTGATCATTGAGAAGCTTAATATTTCCTTAACAATAGAACGTGATTAAAACGATCAGATGATTTTTTACAGAGTTATCTCCCTGTAGTGTTATGTACCACCTTAACTGGAAAATCTTCAAGTGGGAAAGACTATTAAATGCAATTTCTAATATCATACACATGTATATACTGCTTAAAATGAGGTTATTTGGTAACTATTTTCATTATTGTTTTCCTTCCTCTTTAAAACCTACATGAATTATCAAGCTCATAAGAAAAAGCAACATTTAGCATTGACAAATAAGATGGATATATTTAAACTGAACAACATTTTCAAGATCAATATTGAGACCATATTCACATTCTTCATTGAAATTTGAAATATTCCAAAAATTTACATTTAAATTCAATAAGTTCTTAAAACTTCTCAAAATTATCAATAGTAGACTGGTGCACCTGTTCTTTCAACATTCTGGTCATCGCTTTTAGAGCAATAATAAGTTATCTAAATATTGATACCTTTTATATTAAAAAGAAAAATGAAAATGTCTAACTTTAAAGAAAGAAAATCTCCTGATTTCTTCTTTTAAATTATTGAATTCAAAGTAGAAGTAAAATTGGCAAAGTTGACTTCTTCTTTGTGCTTGATTGCATCATTAAAAGTACATACGGTAAATATAGTCTACAAAAGATGCAAACTTATATTTATTCAAAAAAATTGTAAAATAACAAGATTTTTAATATCATAGTTGTGATGCAATATATGATTCAAAAATGTAAATTATATTTACACTAAATCTCATAAAAAAAGCAAATGTGGTTTTGTTTTGTTTATCTCATGCTTTTATGATTCATATATGATGGAAATAAGGAAGAAAAATGACCAAACTAAACTTACAAATTTACAACGGAATGAAAATAAAAGAAAAAAAACAAAACAAAATGTTAAATCTGAAAAATGATCGTATTATGTCAGTTTGTGTTAAAACATATTCTGCACATGAAACATCTATAATATATTATCAACATGATCATAAATTCAACAATTAACATGCAAAACTAAAAACTATCATGACACTATAATTCAAAATCACAATTTTGTTCATTTATATCACAATTTTTTATGTCATTTACAACTTTTTAGAGAAACTCTAAATAGTATTGCAAGAAATCATCACTTATCATTTAAAATATTACATTGAATTGATAAAGTGTCTACCTTAACTGCTATCTCTAGCAAGAGGTCATCTCAATTAACAGGTCACTTTTCAAGAATATCCCCTTTGAAGTAAATTTTATACATTTTAAAAATGTGGAATCAAAATAACCTCCCTATTAAGATAAGTTTGTATTCATCCTTGACCTCTCAATACAGATTTTACTTTAGATTTATTATAAATCATTGGAAAAGGCTCAAAAAAAATTATTCCTTGTATTCTTAGCTTTTGAAATCTACAATTATCTATTTCAAAGAATAATCATCTTTGATAGTTATTAACTAATTCTACTATTTTTCTAAAATAAAATGGCACAATTTCTCAGAATTTGCAGGACTTTGTACCCTGTACATAGTCATAAGTCATACTAAGTTATTTACATAGGGACTAAAACTTTTAAATGAGCATGTAATAAAATACATTTTTGGATTTGTTTCCACTATTCCCTGGGTTTTTGTCTTTCAATTAGTAAAAAAAATGCAGAAATCTTTTTGGCATTTTTTCAACATACCAGACTTGAAAAACATAATCAGTTTAAAAAAAGTTTATACACAATGTTGTAACAAACTTCCTTCAAAATTTCGATCATGATTTACCAAACTCATTGCTTGGCATTTTGTTGTCTGATTTCATTTGAAATAACAAACATTCCACCCAGCTCTCTGACATCTGCACCACCCTTGATATGCTTCCAACTTTTCAAATTTGGAAATTTCTTTTATTAATTTCCCATATGTGCTGACTTAGAGACTGTCCGTCAACATCTAGACTGTCTGCATCTGAGTCTGGTGGGAAAAATTCTGGTCTAGTTTCTAAAGATGGTGCCATTTCATCTAAAGGTATTGAATCCACTCCACTGTCAAGTCTTCCTTGATTCTGATTCTTAGCGTTTATTTCAAGTTTTATACCTGAATCTGAAATTCCACTATCAAAAACATCTTGTTCAACTCCAATTTCTGTTGCTTTACTGTCTTGATTGTCATAGCTTGGTTTTGCAGGATGAAGTTGAGCCTGAACTAGCCCATGAATCTGTGTTTGTTGTAACTGAGGTTTGACTTGGTCTGAACCTGATATATTAGTGGGACTCTGAAAGTTGAGACAGAACTTATCGACATATGGAACTTGATGTGTGTGCATGTCATACAAAACGGGAAATGCTAATAAAGGTTGAGTCTGGTGGGAATCTTCTGCTGTACTACACCCTAGAAAGTCATCTTCAAACCATTTCTGATTGTCACGCATGTAAAGATATAAAGCTAATAGATGATTTTTAAATGTCAAAGTTTCCTGATTATTATTCAAATCTGATCTGATTTTCTCTTTAGACGTGTCTCTGTCTGATATACTCTCCAGGAAAGATGACATCTTTCCCAAATCTAGTTCAATTTGCTCAGTGTCTGAGATTTGATATAAACGAGGCACATTTTTATTCTTGAACATACAACAATCAAGCCAGTTTATTGAAACAATAGGTGAAAGAAGCAGCATGTTTGGTTCGGCATCTTTCATATCTTTTATTCTTTGAAGAAACGATACACCCGAATTAAAGGCTCTATTCCAATTGCAGTTGACGAAATTTCCATCAGCACATATATGGTTGATTTGATGTATTCCTTCTGTGATAACAAATACAATCTTCTTATTTGGTTCTATGTTTCGATTATCTGATACAACTTCCACCTTACTACTAGTTGTCTCCCTTATGACATGCCCAAGACTTCTGACAATGTTGTCAACATAATCATTTTCAGCACAGAAAACTATTGTAATGTTGTTGTCTCCTGAAAAACATAAAGACAAATGTAATTGTGAAAGATCTAGTTTAAACTAGATGTGTCTGTATGACACAAATGCCCCCACCTGCAGCCTTATTGAGAAAAGTCAGCATTTAATTCTGCCAAAAGTCAGTCTCCTGGAACAAAATCAAAACTGAAGATGCACCTACAGGTTTTACAAAAAAAAAAATCTGTAAAACAATTTTCATAAAATTCTCAAGTCCAAATGCAGAAGTTTCAGCCAAAAGTCCGTCAATTGGAATGAAACATAAACTTAATCTATAAGTCATCATTAACCCTTATGTATCGAAAATCAGATTAAAATCTGAAAGCAAAAATAAAACTTTGGATAAATTTTATCTAAAAAAAAAAACAGGACAAATATTGGTAATGCTAAACCAAATATATTTCTTTTCAATAGATTATATCAAAATTTCACCTTACAAACAACAAGCATTCTGAGAGTATTGCATGGCAATACATAGTCCCCAACCAGGTAAAAATTCATTATACTGGAACAAAATGCTAACTTGTTATGGTGTAAACAAAAAGAAAATATCAAGTCAATATCTTCAAGCATGACTAAATAAACAGCTGCGCCATGAGCGCATGATACGCCTGTCGTCTTGTGTGTGAATTTTTATGCAATAAGCATAAATAGTTTCTGACATACGGCGTGACATGCGAAAACCCCCCCTTTTTTTTTACAAAAAACTCAATATCTCTAAAATAAAATTTTGAATCAAAACCAAAAAGTATACAGATCTTGAGATTAATATAACTAAGAAGTGTGTAAAATTTTAAGCAATAATCATAAATCGTTTTTGAGATATGGCGTGACATGTGAAACCCCCCCCCTTTAAAAAAAAATAATCAATATCTCAAAAATAAAATTTTGAATCAAAACCAAAAAGTATAAAGATCTTTAGATTAATATAACTAAGAAGTGTGTAAAATTTTAAGCAATAATCATAAATCGTTTTTGAGATACGGCGCGACATGTGAAAAACCCCTCCCCCTTTTTTACAAAATACTCAATAACTCAAAAATAAAATTCTGAATCATCACCAAAAAGTATACAGATCTTAAGGTTAATATAACTAAGAAGTGTGTAAAGTTTTAAGCAATAATCATAAACTGTTTTTGAGATACGGCGCGACATGTGAAAAACCCCTCCCCCTTTTTTAACAAAATACTCAATATCTCTAAAATAAAATTTTGAATCATCACCAAAAAGTATACAGATCTTAAGATTAATATAACTAAGAAGTGTGTAAAGTTTGAAGCAATAATCATAAATTGTTTTTGAGATACGGCGCGTGTGTGAAAAAAAAAAACACACCTGTTTTAGTTACTAAGTCCCGTAACTCAAAAAGTTTTAATCTTATTTTCACCAAAAAGTATACAGATCGTTTGACCATCATAAGAAACAACTATGTTAAGTTTCATGAAATTTGGATAAGTCATTCTCAAGTTACGATGCGACATGTAAAATTTGGATAAGTCATTCTCAAGTTACGGTGCGACATGTTTACGCCGGACAGACAGATGGACAGACGGACGGAGGGCGGACATTTGTATTTTTATAAAAAAGTGTGGAAAACTGAATATAAGAGTGAATTTTTTCAAGTCCAAGGACCATAACTCTGCACAAAATTATCAGACCGAAACAAAAATTTGAACTTGATCTGTAACTTGTCATGATAAAACTATATACCAATTGTCAATCAATATCTTCAAGCATGATGAAAAAAAGTGTGGAAAACCTATAACACTCTAACATTAGATATGATTAATAGTTCTCTAAAATTAGATATGATGTAATACAATGTATATCTATTTTCAAATTACAATCAAATATAATTAATAGTTCCAAATATTTTTTCTTTCATTTGTCACAAACTAATATAGATTTGTAACTTATCTATTGCCTCGTTCACATGTACATTTAAATCGAATTGAATTTGAATCGAATGCGTTCACACACTCTTCTTTTTTAATTCGAATTGGCTAAGTTGCATTATCCAATTCGCATTAGAAATGCGTTTTTGTTAATACGAATTAAAAGTAAACGTTGTTCGGACAGTAAAGCGAATTTGACGCGCAGTGCAATTCGAATTAGAATTTACGTTTGGACGTAAAATGTTTCGAATGCGAATTAAACTAATTCGAATTAGTTAATGCGAATCGAATTCGAATTACGTGTGAACGCAGCATATAAAATGTCAACAACTTTTATCTACACAAAGTAATGTAATGAAATATATACCTTAATAAAAATAGATTATTATCTAATAAAGGATTTCACTTTATAAATAAAATATATATATATATACATGTAGCATTCAGAAAATTTGTTTATACAAAATAACATATAAACCTGCCACAAAATTCCTCAAACAATTTACCAAAGAATGTCTTTTAAACAAGAGGCTCTCAAGAGCCTGAATCGCTCACCTGTAATTTTATGCATAAATCTTTCATCAATGATTATTTTTGTTTTTCAATATATATTAATGAATGGCTTAAAACTTCCATTGAAATGTTCTTTGTATCTGTCATATTTTCTTCAACATGTTCAAAATCAAAGAAATGCATTTTACCCCTATGTTTCATTTTAGCCATAGTGGCTATGTTTCTTGACGTACAAGAAAATAAAATACCAAATATTTACTAGATACTCTGAAACTCATTCAGCCCAAGTTTGGCTGAAATTGATTCAGCAGTTTCAAAGGAGAAGATTTTGTAAAGTAAGCAAACTAAATGAACTAATTGTGAAAAATTGGTTTTAAAGGGCAATAACTCCTTAAGGGGACAGTTGACAATTTTGGTCATGCGAACTTATTTGTAGATCTTACTTTGCTGAACATTTTTGCAGTTTACAGTTTATCTTTATCATTAATAATATTCAAGATAATAACCAAAATCTGCAAAATTTCCTTAAAATTACCAATTAAGTGGCAGCAATCCAACAATGGGTTGTTAGATTCATCTGAAAATGTCAGGGCTGACAGAACTTGGCCTTTATAAACATTTTTACCTCTTTTCTTCTAGCTCTAAATGCTTTGGTTTTTGAGATATAAGCCAAAAATTGCATTTTACCCCTACGTTCTATTTTTAGCCATGGCGGCCATGTTTTTTTACGAAACAGAAAATAAAACACAAACTTTATTCCTCGATACCCTTAGAATCATTCAGCTTAAGTTTGGTTGGAATTGGTTCAGTAGTTTCAGAGAAGAAGATTTTTCAAAGTTAGAAAACATGATAAACAAACTGTGTAAAATTGTCCTTAAAGGGCAGTAACTCCTTAAGGGGTCAATTGACAATTTTGATCATATGAACTTATTTGTAGATCTTACCTTGTTGAACATTTTTGCTGTTCACAGTTTATCTTTATCATTAATAATATTCAAGAAAATAATCAAAAACTGCAAAATTTCCTTAAAATTACCAATTTAGTGGCAGCAACCCAACAATGGGTTATCAGATTCAACTGAAAACTTCAGGACTGATAGAACTTCACCTAATGAACACTTTAACCCCCATGTAAGATTTGCTCTAAATGCTTTGGTTTTTGAGATATAAGCCAAAAACTGCATTTTACCCCTATGTTTTATTTTTAGCCATGGTGGCCATGTTATTTGACGAAACAGTAAATAAAACACAAACTTTATTCTGGATACCCTAAGCATCATTCAGCTTAAGTTTGGTTGGAATTGGTTCTGTAGTTTCAGAGGAGATGTTTGAAATAGTTTACACCAGACGGACTACGACGGACGCCAAGTGATGGCAAAAGCTCACAGTTCCTTTGGATTGGTGAACTAAAAATGAGTTATCTTCCTTTGTACAGATTATATGGTTTAACATAGTACTCTAACATTAGTTATGGAGTTTTTTTATGGACCATAACTCTGGACTAAATCATCAGACTGGAACAAAATTCGAACTTGATCTATAACTTGTCATGATAAAACTATATACCAAATATCAAATCAATATCTTCAAGAACGAAGAAAAAAAGTGTGGAAAACTGAGTTGCCGGACTGACGGACAGAGTGCAAACCTAAAGTCCCCTTCGACTTTGTCGGTAGGGGACTAATAACCTGACTCAGTATGACAGAGAGAACAGCCACATTAATTGAAATGTAGAGCACATCACAGCTGTAATATTTCAGTGTGTACTAAATGTCTAAAATTAAATTTACACGTTTGTTATCAAACCATGAATTCTTTATGATTTACCATACAATTGAAACAAACAGGTTTTTTTAACTCATCCTTTTGGTGCTTGTTTACCATGAATTTATTGGCTAGTAATAGATATTTTTTTTTAACTCTCCCAATATAAAATTAAAAGCTTGTTTTTTTTTTCTAATAATTTATACAAATTGAAAGCAAGTGATCATCCTATTTTGCATGAATAGTGGACGTATTAATAATGTGATGGGCACTTGCTTTTTTCAAAATAAAATAAAATGCTCCGCTGGGCGCAGCTTGATACGACCACAGAGGTCAAACCCTGAACAGTTGGGGCAAGTATGGACACAACATTCAAGCTTGATACAGCTCTGAATTTGGATTGTGATTAAATATTTGACACAGCATAGGTTTCTAACACAGAATGAATGAGATCTAAGAACTTAAAAATATTTAATTTACCTATTATGGTCCAATATCCAAAATCTAAATACATACACGGTTTGATTCAGCATATCAAAGAACCCCAAGAATTCAATTTTTGTTAAAATCAAACTAAGTTTAATTCTGGACCCTTTGGACCTTAATGTAGACCAATTTGAAAACGGGACCAAAAATTAAGAATCTAAATACACGGTTAAATTCAGCATATCAAAGAACCCAATATTTCAATTTTTGATGAAATCAAACCATATCATTATTATTTGCTCTTATATATAATTAAAAATTAACCAACTTAAAATGGAAAATTTAAAAAAAAAAAAAGGAAAAAAAATCCCCCCCCCCAATTTTTTGAACCCCCTTATGATTCATCACCCCCAAACTCAATCCCAGCCTTCCCTTTGTGGTATGGTACCTTGCAGTACAATTTCAGAGAGATCCATACACTTGAACACAAGTTATTGTCTGGAAACTGTAAAAATGCTTGGTTTTTTTTCCCTTTTTGGCCCCAAATTCCTAAACGTTTAGGGCAATTACCCCCAAACTCAATTCCAGCTTTCCCTTTGTGATATGGAACCTTGTAGTACAATTTCAGAAAGATCCATACACTTACACACAAGTTATTGTCATGAAACTAGAAAAATGCTTGTTTTTTGCCCCTTTTTGGCCCCTAATTCCTAAAATTTTGAGGCAGTTACCCCCAAAATCAATCCCAGCATTCCCTTTGTGATATGGAACCTTGTGGTACAATGTCAGAGAGAGCCATACACTAACACAAAAGTTATTGTCTGGAAGTTACAAAAATGCTTATTTTTGGCCCCTAATTCCTTAACTGTTGGTACCATAACCCCCAAAATCAATCCCAACCTTCCTTTTGTGCTTTTGAACCTTATGGTAAAATTTCATAGAGATACATTCATTTAAACTAAAGTTATTGTGCGAAAACCAATGTGTCCTTGGACGACGACGACGCCAACGTCATACCAATATACTACCGTAAAAATCTTTTGCGGTCATATAAAAAATATATGTTATTCACATCTGAATAGGAAATTAAAACTTGAAACACAAAAACTTCATCACAAATAGTCTAATTAGATGGAATCTGTATTATTCCATGTATTCGATTATAATAAGTCATATGGATGAAATTGGCATATGCAAATGTCTCACCAGTTATATTTCTAATATATAAGAAGCACGGCAAGTCTTGAGTTTAAATATGAAAAATTTAGTTGTCTGGTATCACACTCAATGCATTGGTAGAATCTATATATATCAATTATCCATATTTACATGATATATTGTCTCGTACTTTTCCCAATTTTTAAAGCATTATTGTTGACACATGTGATCAATAAATAAAAAGTGTTGACTAATTAGGTAGGCATAACTAATAGTTCTATAATCTTGGGTTTGCATTCATACTGCAAGGGTTGTTTCCATACGAAATGAAAGCTTATGACGAAATCAAATGATTCATCATTCAGCCTATAAAAGACCAGCATTTGTATGAAATGAAAACCTACTGTAAAAATTGGGTAGTAAATAAAGGTAACCTACTGTAAAAAATGGGTAATAAATAAAGGTAACCTACTGTAAAAATGGGTAGTAAATAAAGGTATCCTACTGTAAAAATAGGGTAGTAAATAAAGGTAACCTACTGTAAAAATTGGGTAGTAAATAAAGGTAACCTACTGTAAAATTGGGTAGCAAATAAAGGTATCATTGACTTTATTGTCCCTGTAGAAAATAATCTGTTAACACAGAGATATGTCTCGCCTTTTTGTAATTTCAATAATGCAAATGCAGAATCAATGAACCATGACTGAAGGTACATGGCTAAACAATCTCCATGGAAATGAGATGTGCAAATGCTAATACAACTGCATACCAAATACCATTGACTTATCATAAGTAGTTCCCTTTAAACAAACCTAAACACAAACTAATACATGTAAACTAAATAAAATTTCAAAGTCAATAGACCATAACTGAGGGGGCAGGGCCAAATAATTTCCATTGAAATGAGATGTCCCAATGCTAATACAACTGCATACCAAATATCATTGACCTATCACTAGTGGTTCCCCATAAAATGACCTAATCACAAACTAATACATGAAAACTAAGCAAAAGTTTCAAAGTCAATAGACCATGACTGAGGGGGCTGGGCCATATAATCTCCATGGAAATGAGATATGCCAATGCTTATACAACTGCATACCAATCATCATTAACTTACCACTAGTGGTTCCCCATAAACTGACCTAATCACAAACTAATACATTTAAACTAAGCAAAATTTCAAAGTCAATAGACCATAACTGAGGGGACGGGGCCAAATAATCTCCATGGTAATGAGATGTGCCAATGCTTATACCACTGCATACCAAATATCATTGATCTACCACTAGTGGTTCAACATAGACTAGACCTAATCACAGACTAATACATTGTTGACGCCGCCGCCGCCGCTGACGCCGGAAACAGCATACCTATGTCTCGCTTTTTGACTCTGTCAAGGCGAGACAAAAAGCAAACTAAATTTCTTTGTTGTTTGTAAACAATTAAGTTTATATGCTGTAAAAGTGTAAATGCATGTTCATTTTATTCTAATTTAGGCAAAATGCAAAATATAATAAATTCACATATGTCTTTGCTTGTAACATCTGGTTGTACTACTATTACTACCCTCAATATTCACTGACATTTGGAGTAAAACATCTGTATATAATACATGTATTTTCAATCTGTTCTAAGTCAAGGATCATTTATTGAGATTCATTTCTGTAAATCCAATGCAACACAATAAGTGGTTACCACTTGAAGACACTTAACAATATCAATATCAATATATCAAAACTGGATTGTTTGTAAAAATTGTTGAGATATCAGGTGAAATATTTGATATGTCAGAAGAAAAATAAAGAATCCTTTCATCAAAATAAAAATATGATACTGATTAAATGTTTGTTGAATAACCTCCATCAAGTGCACTCGAGACTTAAAACTTTCAGAAGCCAAATGCATTACATAACACAAGTGGGAAATTCCAAATCTTAATCAACCTGTTGTTTGAAAGATGAATAAATAAAATGAATTATATATCATCCTAGAACAATTACCACAACTTGATTCAACTTCCTGCTTTCAAAGTTGTTGACTTTTTTGTTTTTTGTAACCAAATGTTTACATATTCTCAAAGCAACATATTGGTTGGTTGATTCAAGTCTGCTAAAATTTAACAGTTTAAAAGTCTAAAAAGTTAATGACCGGTAGTGTTTTCTATTTTGACTAATATTTTTAGTCATTTATTGTTTATTTTGCAATGCACATGAAAGTACCGAAAGTAAACATTCCTCAGAAAGATAAATGCAAGATTTTTTTATTATCATAAGAAACATTTTCAGCAATGATTATGACTAAATAATAATATTGGTCTGTAAATAATTGAATTTAATGAGAGAGAAAAATAAAACAAATACACTAATTATAAAAACTATAGTAGTGTCTATGTCAAATGTTGTAACAGTTTAAATTAATTTCCCTTTCACCTAATAACCAGACCGCCAGATTATTGTATCCCGAAACTAGAATTAATCAAACATAAACTTCAATTTATCTACCATCTGTTCTCATGTCATTTATTGCAATCAATATGATCTAATTTCTTAGACTAATTCTTTCTACTTAAATTTTCCTAATGTTGTTTTTCTTTGAAGTTTTGTATTTTATCCTATTTTGAGTGTCAAATCAATCTTTGTTTACATAGATCAAATTCAGTAAACCTACTAATTTTTGCAAGCGATTTACAGCTAGATGGCTAGAAGATACATGTACTGCAAAAAAATATAATAATCTTTTTTAAGTATAACTTTTATGTGACCAATAGCAGATTTTCCAATTGTAAAAAAGCATTTCGCTTAAAAACAAAACCGATTCTGGAATGTCATTACATGACTGACTTAAGAATTATACTAACAAGAAATCTAGTAAAAAAATTGCCTTAAGAGGGCATTAGCTTCTACTTAAGGTAGATAGGGTGTCTTCCTCCATCTTGGATTTTGAAATACCAGAAAACAATCGGTCTAGATCTTTAATAAAAGGTGCAAATTTTGAGAGTAGTAGTTAATTCATGTGTAAGAATGTTCATTTCAATATATGAAATGACATATTTTGTCATATTTATGGTTGTATTTTACAAAAAAACAGAATACTTTTGTTTGATTCTATTTTTTCCAACTTTGCCACATAAGGGGAGGCAACTCAAATGTAAGGGCAGATAATTCAGATAAAGTTACTTTTACAATGGAATGTGTTAGGAATTTACCTATTTTATTATGTAGCAAGAAAACGGGTTCCTTGACCCCATTTTTTCTTTTTCTTATCTGAAAGCATACTATTAAAGCTATCTTCTCATATTTTATCTCAAAATTCTATGGTGTAGTTATCGTTTTATGGCAGAAAATTGGGGTTTCCATGCATAATCCATACAAAATCTGTCAATTTTGCACAACCTGTAGCGTGAAAATAAGCCCCGTGACCCATTCATTTTATTATTTTTTTTTAAAAAGGATGATATAAACTACATTTTGGCAAATTATTAAAAAATTCTATGGATTATAATTTAGACACCCCATCTACCTTAAACAAAAAATCAAAGTACTTTTTTTTCAATCATAAGTGAAAGCAGATTATTGACTAAATAATCATTTATTAACAGTCATTTTACTTCAATTTTGTAATCAAAGTACTGAAGTACTGAACATCGGATGACCGCAAGTTCTTGTGGATGGTCACAAGCACTTGTCTCAGAAAAAAAAATCACATCTCTATACCTGAAAGTGAGGTTAAGGTACATAGATATTTTTTTTTCTAAGACAAGTTTGTGCGTTGATGATGAATAAATGACGGAATTCAACCTCACCGTAATAACTATTATATTGTAGTGATACAAATCAGTATACTCTGGTTTGTTGTTATATATTATATTAATATTTGTACATAACAGTTACATGTATATATAATTTTCATCCATTTCTATATCATTCTATTCTACTAGTCTGATAATAGTGCAGTGCAAGTGCATGGTGGACACTCTTCTGTAATAATTCGATTTTTCTAATAGATTGGATTTGAGTAGGCATTCATATATTCCTGCAAAACGTACTTGAGATATTCTTCCCCATGCGTTAACACAAATTTTCAGTATTCTTGATTTGTTATTGACATATATATTTCTCACGACAAAACATTTTCATATCATTTATCTATGTTCTTAAAAATTATTTTCATGAATATTCATTGATGAAATTATTCTTGATTTGTTATTGACATATATATTTCTCACGACAAAACATTTTCATATCATTTATCTATGTTCTTAAAAATTATTTTCATGAATATTCATTGATGAAATTGATATCTAACAAGCGATAAGGAATGTTATTTTGCGTTCGGTTATCAGTCAAAACGAAAGTCACGCGGGTAGAAATGTCTGTGGCAACAATACACCGGAATGCCCTCACGGTCATTTGATGTAAAAATAAGCTAAAAAACATCACTGATATATTATTGTCTCGAAAGACAAAAATGCAATCTCATCTGGGTCTGTATGCATGCAACCTTTAATCTAGTAGACCCTTAGTTGGAGATTGGTTGTGCATAGGTTCAGCATGTCCAGTGATTGAAACAAAAGTCAGCAATAAAAATGAAACTAGAGAAGGTAGCAGCAGGAAGACTGATTTTGTTGATTGATTCGACTTGCAGAATTTTTTTCCCCTGGATATTTATCATATCACATTCTTTTAGGATGACTATTTCATCAATTGAAAAGAACAAAAAAAAATACGCTGTTTTCACTTTATAGTAAATACCTTCTTCTGGTCCATTATTTGGCAGAATAATTGATTCTTCCCCCGAGTTTCCCTTTTTTAAAATACCTGTAATAACAAATACATATGCTTTAAACTATTACACTTTTGGGTAGGGGTGATCTTGTGTTTTTTTACAGAAAAAATGATGGTAACGTTTGTGTGTTAAATAGGCAGTCTGTGTAAATGACATTTATATATTTGTTTCCGCATTTGTGAAATCAGCCAGAACAAAATTCATTGCCAAGTTAGCTGAGTGGCAAATATTTTACAGAAATATATTGGTTTTACATCTTAAGTAGGACAAAATAAAAATCTATATCTGTATCGAATACAAAAACCTGACAAAGGATAAGGCTCACTTTGGGGCTTACTCGGCACTATAAATTCTAGGAACATATAAAGATGTATGATACGATTGTTAAACATAATATTTGAAGTTAGGGGATCAACATTTCAGACTAAGGGCTTGAAGAAACTGTAAATAAAATGTCAAAAATTGCCCCTAATATTTTAATTTTAGATTTTATATTGCTATGTTATAAGGTATCAAGAGGTGCACAAGTTATTAATAAATAAATTCAAAGGCATAAAAATCACACACAACATGGTTGAGTTAACATTAAGCTTAACTTACTGCTAAAGTATTCCAGAAGTGCCATTATTATATACAAGACAAAATTTGGTACTGATTTTACTTGCTAGTTTGATATGTGAGGGGCCAAACCCAAATTTCTCCAATATTTTGACAAGCATGATAAAAGGCAACTTTTCTTAAAAAAATTCACAATAATTACTTCATATTTGGCAAGTTATTATTATTCCTTTAATATCAACTTTGTACATTCTATATGAAACAGTAATAACTCAGTTCAAGAACTAAAATAAAATTAATTCAAAATATTGTTTCATAATGACAATATTGGTGACCAGCTTTAAAGCAAACGTTCAAGAAATTTGTGAAATTGTATTATAATCTTGCATATCTGAACTTAAAACTTACCTTTGCGATAAAATACAAAGACTGTTATAGAAATGACTATTACCAAAACCAGAGGTATCACAACCCATGTCATCACTTGCATCTTTTCTTTTTCTTCTTCTAAAAATTGGTTATATTATAATTAAACAAAATCAAGTATTTCAAAATCTAAAACAAATGATGCAAAATATCAGCATTGGTAAAAAGTATAAAGATTCTACCTATAGAAACATTAGATCAAATTATATTTTGAATTCTTCAACCAAATTTCTAAAACATACACATTTCTTTTTTTTGGGAGTATGGTACAGTATTCGACAATCGATTGTATCGACTATTTATTTTTTATAGTTTAAATATCTTGTCAACTGTATTCGATCATATCATTTTGTCGATTCAATCAATTGTTGTACCAAATTAACATACTTCTTTCGTGTCAGTATATATCAACCCAGTCAACTGTACGATCATTATAATCAATTCTGTCAACTGTATCTTCATAATAATTATGAACAGAGCACGATCGTATCGATCATTCAATCTATACAATTGTGCCACGGTTGATCAATATGATCAACTCAGTCAAATCTATATTAATATTATGAACCTAGCACGATTTTATTCAATCCATACGATTGTGCCACGGTTGATCAATGTAATCAACCCAGTAAACTGTATCTTCACATTGTAAACAGAGCAGGATCGTATCGATCGTATTCAATCGATACGATTGTGCCATGGTAGATCAATGTAACCAACCCAGTCAACTGTATCTTCATATTATAAAAGGAGCACGATCGTATCAATCCTATCCATCAATACCATGGTGTCACGGTAGATCAATATAATCAACTCAGTCAACTCTATATTAATATTTTAAACCTAGCAATCGATACGATTGTGGCATGGTTGATCAATGTATCGATCGTATTCAATCGATACGATTGTGCCACTGTTGATCAATATAATCAACCCAGTCAACCGTATCTTCACATGATTCTGGTGTAACACCAGTTTATGTGTACAGATTAAATAAGACTTACAGTGGTTGTTTACATTCTTGCTTCTTGTTGGATGGTTGTTTCATTGACAATCATACCACATCTCCTTATTTGTATATTAGTATCAGTAATAGACAAGAATTATATTAAATATACAAAATCAAAACTCAAAAACATGTATACTTACAGTTGATTGGAGCCCAAAAATTATCTAAATATTTAAATTCTAATTGTTTTGTACATTAATGGATCTGTAATTGGCAAGTTTTCAACGATACAATTGTGCCACGGTTGATCAATATAATCAACTCAACCAACTTCTCTTCATATTATAAACGATGGTATAAGATTAAACAATGCACTCAATTCTGTTTTGTGTAAGACAACTGTACGACTAGAAACCAAGGACACAGCCTACAGTAGTACATGGCATATTTGATACTGCCATAACCTAACCCTAACTCTACCTAACTCTATCCTTGACATAATTCTAACCCATGGACACAGCCTAGGTGGCACATTGACATGGCCTACAGCATAAGAAGGCAAATTAAACTGCCTACGTTGCTAGAATGCACATTGGCACAGCCTACGGTGCTACATGGCACATTGACACAGTCTACCGCACTAGATGGCATATTTTATATAGCCTGACCCTTACGTAACAAAGGGATAAACAAAAATTACATATCTATTTTTTAGATTTCATTGCCAACTGATTGTTAGTCCCCTACCGACATCGCCAAAGGGGACTATAGTTTTGCACTCTTTATGTCCGTACGTCCTTCCGTCCTTCCATCTGTCCATCTGTCACACACAGTTTGTTTTCCGGACTTTTGTCTAAACGCTTGCAGATATTAAATTAATTTTTGGTATGTAAGTGTACCTTGATAGGTTATCAGTTTTTTAGCAATTGCTTTCAGATATTTTATTGATTTTTGGTATGTCAGTGCACAGATAAATTTTTAGTTTCATGCTGATTGGAATAATGTTTGGTGACTTATGCCCTTTAAAATTGCATGATCCAAAAAAACGGTAGGGGACATTGTATTTCCCCTGCAATACTCATTCACCTGTTGATAATGCCTCGCGTCTTCAATGGAGTTTTTCTCTTGTGCAATGCGGAGGTCGTAGAAATCTTCCCCATGCTTTAGGTGTATATATATAGTATAACTAATTATGTTGAATCGTTATTGATCGTATTGATAGTTACAATAAACAAATTGGGTTGATTCGTTCGAGATATAACGTTCAATTGTTATCGATCGTATCTATCATTACTATCGAGTCTTCATCAGAACCAAATTGAGTTGACTGAATCGACAAATGATGTTCAATCGTCATCGATCTTATCAACCGTTAAGATCGAGTAGTGGTAATAACCAAACTGTGAAGGTTGATTCAATAGATGATGTTCAATCGTTATCAATAGTTACGATTATGAATTCGTCTTAAACAAATTGGGTTGATTGATTTGACATATGACGTTCAACCGTTATCGATCATATCTATCGTTACGATGGAGTCTTCATCATGAAAAAATTGAGTTGATTGATTAGACAAATGTTGTTCAATTATTATCAATCGTATCTATCGTTACGATTGAGTGATCAACAAACAATGGTAATCAGTTGATTTGATTTATTCAACAAATGTTATTCAATCGTTACCGATCGTCTGGTTCCTTAAAGATTTGTTGACTTAATCGATCGTTAAGTTGTCTTTTCAATGCATTATTTTTAGCTGAATTGACGTTAAAAATGCAGGAAAAATCAACTGTTGTCGAATCAATCGATTGTTGAATACTGTACCATAATGTTTTTTTTTTACAAATAGATAAATGCTGTGTTTCAATGTAGAGTGCATATCTTAGAACAGGTGTCTAAGGTACTATCAGTAAAAAATATTATACAGTCAAACTTGTATATAAAGGTCATTCATCCACAGAAAACAGACCTAAAAGACAGGTGACCTTTGACCTGGAAGTGTAAAATACATAGGTATTTCTATAACAGGTCAAGAGGGTGACCTTACAATACAGGTTTTTGTTCAAAAGAGGTGACTGTAAATGCAGGTTTGACTGTAGAATGTGTTGCCTACTATAAATTCAGAAATTTTGCGATGTATTTATTAATGCGAAAAATGTTACAGTATCAGGTTCATAATAAAAACCTTTATTCATAATTTCAGTTGTGATTTTCCTTAATAAAACTTTTGTAATTGCATTAAATAAATTTCACACATTTCACAAAAATAAATGCCTGCATTAATTTCTAAATTAACAGCATATGATAGTGTTAATATATTTGACTGTTAAATTTATTCACAACTTTTATTATGTACTTATCGGTAAAACAATTTAGAGCTTAACATATTGTATAGACATATGTCTTCTTATAAAGGACTGCACATTACCCTCTAGATGTCTTTCAGTTAAGTTTGTTGTTGGGTTGTTGTCTCATTGAAGAAGTATACCCTACATCTTCTTTTTTTCATATTTGCCTTTTCATACATACTGGCAAATTATTTTCACTTTTTTCTGAAGTTGTAGTTTGAACTCAGCTTTTTTCAAGCTGATGAACCTGTGAACAAATTTATTTTATTGCTAAAGTGAGAAATCATAAATGCAGTGTATTACAAAAAATACTCTTACCATCCAATTCCTGCAGTTGACTATCTTTTTTCTTGAGGGTTGGAAAAATAGATTACCTTTTTCATCAGGTTAAAAAACTATGTCTAGCTTTAATTTATTTAAGCTCACCTGGTAATCGATCCTGTGTTGGCTTGGGTTCAATCCTAATTGGTGAATACTCCACATTGTGACTCAAAGGTTGATTGTCTTTATCATAAGGCCTTACCTGTTAAAAAAAAGTCATTTCTTATTTACTATAAACCAACTTATTTTCGTGCACACTCTTTTTCTCATTAAGTTCTTTCTGGCCAACTTTGCGCTGATTTATTTTTGTGATCTTCCTATTTCTCTTGATATATTTATATAAGAGAAGATCCAAGTTTCACATATTCGTGAAGATTTAAATTCATGTTATATTTCTACTTGTGAAAGTGGAGAAAAATAAATCACTCCAGATAATTAGTTAGTTTACAGTATACAAACCAAATTAGGGAAAGTTAACTGGTATATATTTCAGAAATTCCTATTGGAATCAACAACTTGGTTAAATTGTATCTTGTGTAAACCACTCTGATTAACTTTATATAGAAATTAACTCAGCCTGTTATCAATTTAAAAAAAAAAAATCTTTTATTTAAAGGTGGACCAGTAACGATATGATATACAGTAAATTTCCAATGAAGCATTAAAAAAACCCTTGAATATTGGTGTTATGGAAATTTTGAGGTTGTCAATAAATTTATTTTACTTATTTGATACCTTCAGAAACATAAGGATGTTTGATAGTGTATTCCTACTCTCCTGAATAAATGGGCAACAATATTGAACAAGAGTGTCTGATTTGTGTATTGTTAAGAAATTGAATTTGTTTAAACCAAAGAGCCACCATGCCAAAATGCTCAATGAAAATATTGCTTTTAAAAAATATGTTCATATATGTTACTTATCACTTTTGAGGAAGTCAATAGATCTCTCTCAAGCTTACATTTTCAGCAGATCTACATGAAACCTTAGGCATGTTTTGAAAAATATTAAAACGTCAGGTCTGCAGTTACAATGTTCAGAATATTCAAAGTATCAAATCTTTGTAAATCTTCCATTTGGAAATGATGGCATGTAAAAATAAAATGCTTTGCTGAGTGCAGCTGGATACGACCGCAGAGGTCCAACCCTGAACATTAGAGGCAAAAATGGACACAATATTCATGCTTGATACAGGTCCTAATTTGGATTGTAATTAAATATTTGACACATAATAGGTTTCTGACACCGAATAACTGTAGTCAAAGAACTTAGAATTGGTAATATGATTTGAATTTATATTCAATTTTTTGCTTTTGTGCAATACATTATGCTGTTGCGAAATTGCCCCCCCCCCCCCTAAAAAAAAAAAAAATTAACCCCACTTTTTTTGGGCTTCTGTGAAATTCACTATGTTGTTGCGTATTGACCCCCCCTCCTTTCCAAAAAAAAAAAAATTTACTCCCCCACCCCCTTTTATGGCAAAAAGAAATAATATTTGAAGAAATTTTCTTTTTAATTTCTGAAATCTGAAATGAAAAAAAAAATTGCCCCCACAATTTCTTTTTTACCCCCCCTCCCCCTTTCCCAAAAAAAAATTCTTTCCCTCAAGATATGGTTATAATCTCAATTCAAATTTCCAATGGAGTTTGCAACCATAATTACCGATATAAATACATCATAAATGTCTTAAAATAGAAAAAAAATCCCCCCCCCCCCCCAATTGTTTTGAACCCCCTTATGATTTATCACCCCCAAACTCAATCCCAGCCTTCCCTTTCTGGTATGGTACCTTGCAGTACAATTTCAGAGAGATCCATACACTTGAACACAAGTTATTGTCTGGAAACTAGAAAAATGCTTGTTTTTTGGCCCCTTTTTGGCCCAAAATTCCTAAACGTTTAGAGCATTACCCCCAAACTCAAACCCAGCTTTCCCTTTGTGATATGGAACCTTGTAGTACAATTTCATAAAGATCCATACACTTACACACAAGTTATTGTCCTGAAACTAGAAAAATGCTTGTTTTTTGCCCCTTTTTGGTCCCTAATTCCTAACATTTTGAGGCAATTACCCCAAAAATCAATCCCAGCATTCCCTTTGAGATATGGAACCTTGTGGTACAATGTCGGAGAGATTCATACACTAACACACAAGTTTTTGTCTGGAAGTTACAAAAATGCATTTTTTGCCCCTTTTTGGCCCCTAATTCCTTAACTGTTGGTACCATAACCCCCAAAATCATCCCAACCTTCCTTTTGTGGTATTGAACCTTATGGTAATATTTCATATAGATTCATTCACTTAAACTAAAGTTATTGTGCGAAAAATTTTTGCGGTCATATAAAAACCAGACATAACAGTGTTATGTAACATGATTTTCCACAAATTACGTAAGTTTTCAATAGTAATTGAAAGCAATGAAGGAAGAAAAAAGTTTAGGAATACTTGATCTATTAAAGCCAAATAGATAAAGGATTGAAGAACCAGTCTATGTCAAAAAGTGCAAAAGACATCACATAAAAAAAAAAGTTGACAGGTCTACAGAGTGTTAACAATAACAACGTATATCCTGAGGACACAGTTATTTTGCAATGCATTCCTTAAGAACTATAAATGCAAATTAAAAAAAATTCCCATCTGCATCTTCTCAGTAAGATTTTTACGATGTAGGGTAAACTTTTGAGACAAATTATAGAAAGATTTACCAGTTCTTCCTTAAAATATGGACAATTCTATGTTAAGGGGGTCTAAAATTCAGTATAACAGCTTCAGACTTACTAATTTTTACTTGTTTAAACTGGAACATATGACTACATTATCTTCAAATATGTGAGACAGATTTTCTTTTACATGTTGTTCACCCCCTACTTACTATTTTATGCATAAAATATAATGGAATAAATTTGGAAGGTTTTTGAAGAAATTTGCAAAATATACACTGTAGGGACTATATTTGTAGACAATGAAAACCAAAGGACGATAACACTTATTTATATATTAAAATGCATACAGAAGCTATGGGAAATGAAAATTTGTTACTTTTTGCACATTTCTATGCTAAGATGTCATGACACAAGAAGTCTGAATCCAATAGGACTCTTGCAATCATTTTTTTTTTTTTTTGCTTTTTGCAGACAGTATGGTCTGATGCAATATTTTTTTTTCACTTTTGAGAGGAAAACTTGCATGTAATTTTAGTCTCAACAGGCATATATTTAAAACCACTTACTATCTTAAAGAAGAAAAAAAGGTAGCATATGAAATGTTATAGATACACTTATCATTGGAAAGTGCCTGTTTTACAGATTTACTGCTTACTTTTCTCTAAATTCAAAGTTCACAAATGATTAATGGAACTTGATCAAAGCCTAGAAACACAAATATCAAACCATGAAAACCTGTCAGATAGAATGTCAGCATGCCGCTTAGACATAAATATGGAAATGGCTTAACAATGCTTATTTTGGCCATATAATGCCAAAATGGGTCATTTTTACAGAATTTCAATCAAAAAAAGATAAAATGTAAATCCTTTCATTCATTCAGCTTGACTAATTGATACTATAAAACCATTCAGGGAAGTTTCCAAAGTACAGAATCTACATTTACTGACCATATCCAGACCATAATATGACTATAAAAATAAACCAGTATTTATAAATATCTAAGGTGCGTCATTATCAACGCAATAAGATTGCTATTTCTGTACAAATGGACAATTATTATCTTCAAGGTCTGTGTCTATGGTACTTAAATGTGAGCAATTCTCAGATATAGGAGTGAATTTGTCAGCTCAATGTCAAGTATGTCAAAACAATATTCAGATATAACTTATCCACAAGAAAAAGTACACTTCAAAGATAACATGCTGAAATTGTCTTATAAAAATACAATTTCTTCATTATCATCCCTTTTTCTAAAATTCAATCAAATATTGTGTGTCTCATAATAAAAACTTAATTCTAATAAATATGACAGTATGAAACATTTGAAAATTGTCTACCATCATAACAGCTATAGAAAAAAAAATGCAATAACATAATCGTTAAGTATTAAGGACATTTGAAAATTGTCTATCATCACAACAGCCATAGACATAAAATGCAATAACATAATTGTTAAGTAAGGAATTAATATCAAGTTATAAGTCCTTCATTACAGCAAAACCATCCTTGAGTCTAAAGGAAAATATCTTGGAACAAAGAAACATCCTGGATAAAAGACAATGTAATAATAGGTCTTATAGTAAACGAATTAACCTAATAAATGTGATCAACATTGCTCTAATTTTTGTTAAACAGTAAACAGTTTCTAAGCTATATTTATGGAAAAAAAGAGACTTCCTTTAATTTGTACACCGAGTAAAATACCTATTAGTAAATAATACAATATTTTCAAGGAGTGTGCTTAAAAAAACATTTAGTTCTTTATATTAGGTTCATTTGAACATTTCATATATCATTAAAGCTGTTTGCCTTCACTTGTTTGCTCAGTCTGCAATTCATGGCATTGTAAAATGAAATACAGTAACACAGCCCAAGGGCATATGTTGTTCAATTTTCAGTTAAAAAAAGACAACAGAAAAAATCAACTGTCTGCGATCCAATTAAAATTTTCAGACAACATTGTATCTAATAAGAGTTTTGTTTTACTGTTCATTCCACCTTAATAACAGGAAAAGCTTGATAGTGAGTGTTGGGACAATAGTTCAGCCACAAATACCTCTCACATTTTTAATTTCTTTAGTTTGTTGACTAAGATGAAAACAAGAGTGCACACACTGAAATGTATTGCCTGCTTTACTGACCATTGATTATATGTTGATAGTCCTTAATATAAAGTTTTATTACAAGTATCACATTAACATAAACATGATCCAAGAAAATAAGGTCAAGGTCAGATAAACCAAGCCGGAAATACATGTACATCTTACAATCATTCCATACACTGAATATAGTTGACCTATAGCTAAAGTATACAAGAAACAGACCAAACCATAAAAACTTTATATTGACCAATGAACAATGAAAATGAGGTCAAGGTCAGATGAACCCTGCCAGACAGACATGTGCACCTTAAAATCATTCCATGCATCAAATATAGATGACCTATTGCTGATAGTATCTAAGAAACAAACTTTACCAGGAAAACTTAACATTGACCAATGAACTATGAAATTGAGGTCAAGGTCAGATGATACCTACCAGACAGACATATACACCTTACAATCATTCCATACACAAAATATAGTTGACCTATGTCTCACTTTCTGCAACAGAAGTCGCAGGCTCAGGAATTATGCTAATATATAGTCAATGCCTCCTTCAGTGCTGGTCTTAATTATAACTAGGTGAGCTAGTGATCGCAGATGCTCTTGCTTGCAGAAAAAACTCTTTTAACAATAAATGCCAAAATTCAAAAAGATTTGTCAATCTCTTCTTTCAAAATTACCTTGAAATAAACCCAAAAAATCTAATTTTTAAGGTAACTAAATAACTCTTGAATGGTAAATATCAAAACCAACAATATCAAACTTGACCTGTATTTTATGATTTGTGACATTGTGTTAAAATTCAAAAGATTTGGTAAAAGTGGTACATCACAGTTACTACCAACCATTAAATATTATGGGCCCAGCCATTTTAAGAAAAGAACATGGTATTCAGAATAAAGTGTATGGCTAATTCTAATTGGTCAATGTGTGCAGCCAGTATTTTTTTTAAATGCTAGACACTTCGTACACTCTGCATCATACCAAGGGCAAAATAATATATTTTCCTTAGTCCTAACGGAACTGAGAAGTCTTTTCTATGATGAGACACATGTTTTTAAGTGCAAAATTAATAGGCAAAGGAGATAAGTACAAATAATGTTAAGAAAAGCAACGGGAACCTACATTTTTTGGACTTAAATATACTGTCCTAATAATTTTTCTTTAATTCTAACAAGGTTGCGGTTAAAAAAATCAACTTTCTAATTTCTGTAACTCGAAAAATGGGGAAAATTAATTGTATTGTGCAATCTTTAATTATAATCCTTAAACAAAGTCATGGTTGTGCCAAAGTTGTCTTTCAAGCCTACAGAAAATTTGTACTCATTGAACATTTAAATTCTACTAATATATCCATGAAACCCACGAAAATTAGTACTCCAGGAAAAATAATGAATCTACAGTTAATCTGACCATACAAATGATATCTTCTGTATTTAATGCCACAATATGATGAATCTTTAATAGAGAAAAGTATTGATAAGCTGGGTCATCATTTACTCTTGATGTCCTGAACAAAAAAAAAACTATTCCATCATACCTTATTGCTGACATGTGGTGGAAAAGTGGAATAATAAGCTTGTACTAATCTGGCTTGGTTGGTTTATAATTCAGTAGCAAATTACCTGTATACTGTAGTTTTCTCCTGGTGATAGACATAGTGTCACATTGTTACCAGGCTGAAAGATAAAACATCTAAGGTATCAACTATCATTATTCTGTTATACAGATGAAAGACGATACTTAAAAAGATATGTATTCACTACAGGCTAGACAATAAATCAATAGGTTTAAATGTTCCAATAATTTTTTTTTGATAAATAAGTACAGTCTCAGACTAGTTTTTCTAGTCTATTGATATGCCATTCCAAAACAATGTTGGCCACAGAATGCTCCTTTCAAATTTTATAGTATCTGTTGAACTAACCAGGAAACTTGCAAGAAATTTTTATTGGAAAAGTGAATGCTTATTGTCTGACTCCAATAGATGCCATCGCGTAAGATATAAGTAGGAACCTGCCAATATTTGTTGGATTTTTTCAAATATGGAAATCTCCCTCTGATAACCAGTTTCCTGCATGACAGTGAGGTATAATCTCCCACAAAAAAAATTAAATTCTCGAAATTTTTCAAACGTCATCTTATTTTGTAATTGTCCTGTAAAAACTGACTATTTATTGAGAGGTAAAAAGGTTGATTCACATTTACAGAATTATACTTTAATAAAATAAAAAATATGTATATATATATATATTAATTGTCTAAATTATTTGACTAGTTGTTTTATCTAATTATTACATTAGTAATTGGATTAATTTAAATGTTGAATGTGCAAACTTTTTAAACATTATCTATTCAAAGCAAATGTAAATTGAAACATTATGAAAAACAGCATACATAAATATGGGGAAATTGTGTGCATGTAAAACTGGTTTTATCCACCAACCCTTGCAACAAATCTCTGAGGGGTTTGTAGGTGGCCTGTTGCAAGGCCAAATTTTGTCCTTCTCCAACATACCCCCAAATTTCACACCCATTTATCCCAGTTAGCCAGCCTTGCAAAACCTACCTGTTGCATGAATCATTTTTATTGAAAATGTTCTAATTTGTTATTGTTTTAGTTATGCACGAGAAATTTGCAACAATCAATCAATTTAACCCACCACAATTTGTGCCTGTACCAAGTCAGGCGATCTGGACCATGTGTTTTTCATTGTTGTTTGTAGGTCTATATGAAAAGAGTTAGGTGTAATGGGTTGGTCCGTCCAGTGTTTTGCTAATTCCTGTTATTCCTTTTTATGTCTTATGGATTTAGAAAACTGTCACCAGTAGGATTCTCAGACTTTGAAAGCTTGAAAATTTTACTCCTATGACCCTTATCTCAAGTTTGGATATTACATATCATATTCAATAGATTCAAAAATCTTTGAAATTTGGAAACAAGGCTCAACTGGCATTTATGAGGTGATATGTCATCTAATCATGTGATAATTTTGTTAGAGGAATAACAACAAAATCAGCATGCTAAAAATGGCATATCATGTATACAAATAATAACAAAGATTGATGCAAAGTGTTATCTTAAAATACACAAAGATGAGCAACTATCTCCTAAAAGAGATGAGCAACTATCTCCTAAAAGAGCAAATATTAATAAAAACCAAAAAGGGTAAAACAATATGCGCCCAACTTTCAGTTGCGGGGGCATGAAAAAGATGCCGACACAGAGATATATCTTACGGTTTGTAATTTTGATAGATAAAAATGACAATACTTAACATGAATTCAAAGTCAATGAACCATGCTTAAAGTTACAGGGCCACATAATCTCCATAGAAATGGGATGTGCTAATGCTAATACAACTGCATACCAAATATCAAATCATTCTGAATATTTCTTTTCAAATAAATGTACTGGATATATATATCTCATGTACACATAAAAAATCCTTCACAAAAAGAGGATATCTGTGTCAAGACAGCCAATAGCAATTTGAAATTAGTAAATTACTTTAAACTTGACAGTAGAATAAGCTTGTCTACATCATTAACAGTGAAGGCTTTAGTAATATCTGCAGAGAACGGAGACAATGTCTATATGAGGGATTAATACACAAACAGTGCAATAAATTGTTTATAATTCTCTGGTGACCTTCAAAACAAATTCTACAGGATTCTTAAAGTTCACAAAATGTAGGTATATATTACATGCAGTAGTCAACAAATCAATTGTAAACCTTCTATCTTTCCTTTGATCATTAAAGATCTTTTTACCTTGGAATAAGAAAGGACATATGGATGTTTATTGTTTGGCTGATCATTTCACAACCATGCAATTTAATGATATATGAAAATGCCCAAATACCAATTTTACAGTCTTATGTTTAACCAGTTTGAGGATCAATGCACCAAAGTGAAACTTCTACCACAAGACCACTTAGTTGTTATACATGGATTGACTGTTTGACTGATCGGTGTTATATCCAGCAGGAAATATTACATGCATATATTGTAAACCAACTTTTTAGCCAACTGCAGGCGAATTTATTTTTTCACGATTTTCTAATTTTTTTGACAAATTTATATAAAGGAAGACCAAAGTTTACAGTTTTGCGATGATTTTACATTCTCATTATTTTACTAAACTCACATAATCAATTGCAAACTAGATGTTTAACAGTATTTAGCAGTATATCATATTAATGTAATATAAAGATACACTGCTTTTTGTAACTCACAAAGTAACCCTCGGCAGGAAGACATGTTATCCAACCTAGACACATTATTCTGACTCTGAGCTGACACGTCTTTACATTTACTACTAAAAGGCATATTCTTGGCAGAGAAGCAGCAAATATCAATTCAAATGTCTTTGGTTTGACCAAGCAAAGGATAAACCAAGAACATTCAATAAGGCCAGTCGTATACTGTGAAAGTACTTTTATTCATGGGTATCAATTTTCATAGTTTGAGCAAAAGTTATATATTTGTGGGTATCAATTTTTGTGTTTTGAGCAAAAGTTACGGTGTTCTTGGATTTCAGTTTTCTGAAAAAAATGGAGTGAAGAATTTGAAGCCATCAGATACAAATATTGATTTGTGGAACATTGCAAAATAAGGTCTTCATTTTCACTTACTTGTTCGTCTTTCATTACTGACAATTCATCAAAATTTGAAAAAATAATTGCTTTCTGAAATAAGCTGATTCATCTATAGTTACAAAGTGTCTTGATTGATCAAAGGAAATTGCAACAAAAACATTATAAATGTTGCACAGGTATAATCAGAGATGACAAGAATCAACCTGAGATCAAATGATCTACATATTAATGATCATCAAAGGTGTTAATTAGGCCATAAACATGTCACTTAAAGAAAACAGTTACATTTAAAAGAAGAATGTGTCTGAGGACACGAATGCACCTGCTCAAGCTTGCTTATAATATGTGAAAATACTTTTGGGACAGACAGAAAGACAGACGAAGGACGGACAGTCAATGATAACTCTTAATTCCCCCTTCACCTAGTGGTGGGGGCATAAAAATGCTTTTAAAATGTACTTTGAATTGTACAATATAATCTTAAAGAAATAAAATGCTTCGCTGAGCGCAGCCTGATACGACCGCAGAGGTCGAACCCTGAACAGTTTGGGCAAAATTGGACACAATATTCAAGCTTGATACTGTCTAAATTTGGATTGTGATCAAATTTTTGACATAATATAGGTTTCTGACACAAAATAAATGTGGTCAAAGATCTTACAAATCTATTGCGCAATACTGTGCAATTGAAAATTTCTTCTTAAAACTCTTCAAAAATTCGAAATTTGAAAAATTTTGAAAAAAAATATGAATCCCTTAAAAAAATCGGAAAAAAAAATCCCCCCCCCCCCCCCCCCAACTTTTTGAAAACCCCCTTGGAGCAATAACCCAAAAACTCAATCCCAGCCTTTCCTTTGTAGTATGGAACATTGTAGTACAATTTCAGAGAGATCCATACACTTAAACACAAGTTATTGTCTGGAAACTAGAAAAATGCTTGTTTTTGGCCCTTTTTTGGCCCCTAATTCCTATGTGTTTGGGACAATTAACCCCAAACTCAATCACAGCCTTCCCTTTGTTATATGGAACCTTGTAGTACAATGTCAGAGAGATCCATAGACTTACACACAAGTTATTGTCTGAAAACTAGAAAAATGCTTGTTTTTGGCCCCTTTTTGGCACTTTATTCCTAAACTGTTGGCCCCATAACCCCTAAAATGAATCCCAACCTTCTACTTGTGGTATTAAACATTGTGGTACAATGTCAGAGAGATCCATACACTTACACACAAGTTATTGTCTGGAAACTAGAAAAATGCTTGTTTTTGGCCCCTTTTCGGCCCCTAATTCCTAAACGGTTGGGACCATCATCCCCAAAATCAATCCCAACCTTCCTTTTGAGGTATTGAACCTTCTTAAAAAAGGAGTAGGTTCAGTAAGACCCCTTTTTGGCCCCAAAATATAGCAGTTTTACAAAATTGTTAAAATGTAAACTTTTAACTTTTCATTGGAAAGAAGAATACTTCTGTTACATACATATGGGCTGTTTTTGATAATACAATGCACATGTATCGGGTACTAGCATCATGAAGTCATGCTAAATAACTGAAATCTTCGAAATTTTAGCATTTTGGTTAATTTTTAGACGGTTTCCGTCTGAAATGGAAGTGGCCGCATTTTTGTTAATTCTTAATATTTAAATGTAAGTTGTATTTGATGATAATACATAACATATATAAAGGTTGAGAATGAACACGGATGCGGCCACTTTCATTTTTGACAAAAACCATCTGAAAAGTGACATATTATGGCATATTTGACAGATTTTTCATATTTAAGCTTGAATTTGAGCGTCTATAATGACTAAATCGGCTCAAACCTTTCACATAAACTGATTGAATCGACTGAGGTAGACACTTAAGTGTTTAAAAAGTGTCCAAAATCTTTCATCAGATGAACTTGAATTTTGAGGCCAAAATCAGCCCTTACCAGACCAACTCCTTTCATAGAGATCCATTCCCTTAAACTAAAGTTATTGTCCTGAAACCAATGTGTCTTCGGACGACGACGACGCAGACGACGACATCATACCATTATATGATCCAAAAAAAAATTTTTGCGGTCGTATAATAAATAAATGGGGAAAGCTTCCATAGGACACAGATGATGCCCAAGCTTGCATATAACGTTATAAAGGGACATAATTCAAGAAGGATAAAAGTGACGCTACCCAAATTTGTACTTGATCTGAGTTTTGTGGTAATAAGCATTGTGTATATGTTTCATAACATTTGGTTGAGGCAAACTAATGTTAGGGAACGGAAACGAAAAATTCAGCAATTTTTCCATTTGTAAAGGGCATTACTCTAGATCGATACAAGTGACGCCACCAAAATTTGATCTGGATCTGTGTTTTGTGGTAATAAGCATTGTGTATAAGTTTCATAACATTTGGTTGAGGCAAACTAAAATTAGAGAATGGAAACCAATTTTGGGACGTACGTACTACGTACATACAGACGGACAAGGGTAAAACTTAATTCCCCCTCCGCTATGGCGGGGGCATAAAACCCAAGCCCAATATGAAATTTTTTTTAATTTTGTTTTCGTATGCAAATTATGAGGAGATAAAATGGACACTTCAGCATCCCATATCATCACCAGAAGTCTGACTTTCATCCATAAAAACTAACTAATCAATTTTTCATGATAATTAAGAAGGTTTTAAGTTGAACAGAATATGTTTTTTAAAGATTAAATGGGTTAAATCATGTCTGAAGTTGTATACATAAAATAGTTCATAGTCCGTTTGCTTATATTCGATGTATTCAATAGATTATGTGCCTGTATACATGTAGTCAAACCTACATGGGCATCTTTCCATGTCTTTTGATTTGGACAACAGTTGTTATATTCCTTTGGAAACTTAAATTCGTAGATAAACCCATCCACGAAAACCTTGAAAATTGGAACCCCACGAATAAAAGTACTTTCACAGTATCTACCGGATATTATCTCTCCATGAAATGTCATAATCATGCTAGCTATAGGTGTATCTTTTGTCAAAAAATATATGATAGAGTATATATTTTTGCTATTCAAAATATATGAAAAGGTTGGGGTATTGGATGTCTCAGCTGCTCACCCCTACCACAAAAGAAAATATAACCAAGGTTTCCAAAACGGTCATATTTGCCGGATAAGTTTTTGACAGTGTAGTTTTCCTCAAATAAAGAGTCTAAGGCAGATATTAGTACGCTGATATTGCACACTTCGAATGATGCACCGTAAATATTGAACATTTTACGTCAGAACATCGAATTTATATTAAAAGTCAAGTTTAAAACCGTTTTTGTGTCAATCATTGTTTATATGATGCCCAACTGATTAAAACGCCTGCCTTTTGTTACTTATTCTTAAGGAACTGAAATTGGGATAAGACAAAAAATGTCCGGCTGGCTCAAATATTTTTTGGAAGCCCTGTATATAACCCTAACATATTATAAACCCTAATTTAACTCTTTTCCTAAACAGAACCCTTACCCTTAGTACAGGGTCCCCGATAGTAAATTTATTGCAATTTGACTTTCCTCAACAAAACGAAAATTCTGATTAATCTACTCACTTGGTTGCTAAGGCAGAATGAAACTATGAATTAATTAAATGTTCTAAGATGGCAAAACTAAGAGCTGAGATAATTTAAAAAATATAATACAGTGTAACGTGTATCTAGTGGACTTACATATTGAAAGGATGCATGTTTTACTTCTTTGTTGTTCAAGTTAATAAGACTGACTATGTGACTGTAGGCATTGGTAAATGGTGGATGTACAACTACTATAACACAATCAGTAACAGAGTCTCCAGTTTCTGTGAAGTAGATTTCTGGCTTCCAACTATAGTATGGTACTAAAATAACAATGAAAAGAAATATATACATTGTAGTTGCATTATATTCTTTAATTCAATAAATATTGTTATTTCCACCAAATGAAATGTTAGACGTGAGTATTTTATACCGGTACATTTATAATTTTAATAAACTATTGAAAATGGAGAAGTATCTTATAACATGAGAAGCAGTTGAATGTTATTTTGTGATGATTTTGAAAGTTTTTTTTAGTTGTTAGGTTGATTATTCTCAGCTCAAAGGAAGAGGTAAAATTGATGAGGCAGCTGTTTTGTCCACTTCAATAAGCAATTTAAAAAGTTTTATAACACTGTCAAAATACATCTTCCCGATATTCACAAAACAGCAAGTTTTCAGATATCTTTAATTATATTTTGACTTATTTTCTTACATATTTGCAGGCATACAATACAGTTACTTCGCAATGTCACATAGTGGGAAAAGATGTATTTTTCCACTAACTTTAATCATTAGGTTGAAAAAGAGATCATGGAACCCTGTGTTTTCAAACTGACACTTGGCTTAAATATGTAGGAATATCAAATAAGGAGATGTGGTATGATTGGCAATTTGAGACAATAATCCACCAGAAAGGATAGAAATGTTAAACTAGAGGCTCTCAAGAGCCTGTGTCGCTCACCTGTATTTACTGATGCTTTGGAAATCATGTAAAATAAGGTTAAAATCATAATTAATAGTATTAGATATTAGATATTATAATGATATCTAAGATAATAACAAAAAACTGCAAATTTTTTTGTATAATTACTAACTCAGGGGCAGCAACCCAACAACGGGTTGTCGGATTCGTCTGAAAATTTCAGGGCAAATTAATCTAAATCTGATGAACATTTTTGCCACCTGTCAGATTTGCTCTAAATGCTTTAGTTTCAGAGATATAAACCAAAAACAGCATTTTACCCCTATGTTCTATTTTTATCTAAGTTGGCCATGATGGTTGGAAGGCGGGGTCATCGGACAAATTTTTTAAACTAGATACCCTAATAATGATTATGGCCAAGTATGGTTAAATTTGTATCAGTAGTTTCAGAGAAGAAGATTTTTGTAAAAGATTACAAAAATTTACGAAAAATTGTTAAAAATTGACTATTAAGGGCAATAACTCCTAAAGGGGTCGACTGACAATTTTGGTCATGGCATCTTATTTGTAGATCTTACTTTGCTGAACATTATTGCTGTTTACAGTTTATCTCTATCTATAATAATATTCAAGATAATAACCAAAAACTGCAAAATTTCCTTAAAATTACCAATTCAGGGGCAGCAACCAAACAACAGGTTGTCAGATTTGTCTGAAAATTTCAGGGCAGATAGATCTTGACCTGATAATCAGTTTTACCCTATGTCAGATTTACTCTAAATGCTTTGGTTTCAGAGATATAAGCCAAAATCTACATTTTACCCCTATGTTCTATTTTTAGCCATGGCGGTCATCTTGGTTGATTGGCAGGGTCATCGGACACATTTTTTAAACTAGATACCCTAATGATGATTGTGGCCAAGTTTGGTTAAATTTGGCCGAGTGGTTTCAGAGGAGAAGATTTTTGTAAAAAGCTAACGACGACGACGGATGACGGACGACGGACGACGGACGCCAAGTGATGAGAAAAGCTCACTTGGCCCTTCGGGCCAGGTGAGCTAAAAAAAGAAAATGTCAAAAATATATATCTAAAATTTCGACCCCATTTATCTCTTAAAGTAGCAATTGAATATATATATTTTATTACATTTAAGAACAGATCAGGTAAACAATAGCTTGTTTGCAATTTTGGTAAAAAAATCACTGTGATTTATTGATTGATTATTGGTTGTTTAATGCAACTATCAGCCCTATTGGCTATATCATGGTCCCCAGTTTTTATTCACAAGAAAGAGGCAGTGCTCAGAGAGAGAACCATCGACATTTGTCAGGAAAACAGATGATAATTGTTAATCAAATTACATTTTTCTTAACAATGGGAGAGAATTTATCATTGTTGTATTATTGATGAATATTAATGATTATTAAGGTCATGATAGCCTATTTCAAACTATGTTAACACATCAAGTTAGGTCACAGTGACCTATTTATAAACAAAGATAACATATGAAAAGTATTAATCAATTCTGATATTATTACCCAGTACATGAATGTCACAAGCTCCTAACTAATCAAATATAACAAAGAATTTACAACACAGTAATAACTAGCTGTCCTTCAGTTGTTACTAAATAAAGCACAGCCACTGAGATCCATTAAAGAAGTCTGTATATATATAAATATGTTGACAGTAATGACATCTATTGATTATTTCAAACAAGATGTTGGAAAGGATGATCTAACCTACTACCATATAACTTCTGTTCTTCTTTTGAACAATAACTAAGTTATATCATAGCTTTGATATCAGAGGACATTCACCCTGTACTAATAAAGAAGGGGGAAAGGACTACCAGTAAATTCTAGAAAATCGTATCTTAAAATATTAAATAGTGTACTCTTAAATTTCAACAACAGTGTTATTATAAATGTGACTTATGAGAACTGTTCCCTTCAAACATAGATGTAACCCAGCAAAGACACTTTTAAATGCTGTAACCTTCCATAGAAGCAATATTAGAATTTCCCTTACATCTTCATTGTAAGAGATAGTCTCTACACCCATGATATTTGAGAGTTCAAAGTGTTCCCCTGGGTGTCATGTATTTTTTTATGGAACAGCCCTAAAACACAAAGGATTCTTGTAATAATAAATTTAATTACCATATAATTCTATACCCATTTAGGCACAGTCTTTGTTTAGATTTAAATTAAGTTTTGAACTTAAGTTTTTTTTCCCACAATACAAATGCATCATAAAATATCAAAATTGCAGGAATAGGCTTTTTTGGCCCCACAACAAAGTTGTCAGGGCCATATAGTTTTACCCTTATCAGTCCCGAAGTTACTAGCTTTGGACTTTGAAAATAGCAGTTTTACAGACTATGATGAGTTACAGATTGAGTTTACTTTTGGTTCCCCGTCGCTGATTTTTGAAGAAAAGGAAGGGCCACCATGACTAAAAGGGACATAAAAAGAATATCTAAGTTCATCTAAGGTCAACTTCAATTATTCAATTCATAATTTTCTTTACTTTAGACAATCACCTCAAATTCCCTTCACAAAGATGGTGCAGATTTTCTATACTTTAAAATATGTGAAAATCTTCTTTTTAAGATTATATCTTGAAATATACAGGTCATTCTTTATCTGGATGGTGTAGACATGAAATATAATTTGGCTGCTCTTAATTGGTATGGAATTACAGCCTTGACAGTTAATGGATTTGTGTCTATTTCAGTTAGAAAGCACTACAAAAACAGAATCCCAATACTTTCTTATTTATCAGATTAGCCTATAGTGCTGCTTCCTATTCATCTCTGATTTCAAAAAAACATAATCAAGTGAAGACAGCCCCAAGAAGAAGTTTTTATATCACTGTCGCATACATCTAAAGGTTGTAAAAGCAATGCTAATCAATAAATTATACAAACTAAAGAAAAACAATGGGAAAAGAAATAGTCTAATTGATTATTATTAGAAAAAGGAGAAATGGCTGTCAATTTTACAGATGATAAATATATCCAATTACTTCTATGACGTATGCTATATTTAACCCTATAGCATAATATGACAGAAGCCATTGCCTCTTAGATACAGTTGTGGTTGCAATATTAGATCGTTTCAAAAATAAAAAATAAAAAACACAAGACCATCTAGAAAAAAAATCATTTCCGAAATTCCCCTTTTGTACAGATTTGGCAAACTCCCTGTTTCTCAATGTGAAACCCTCAAAATTATTCTGGAAAAAATAATTTAGGGTGCAGAATCAGGGTTTCAGATTGCCATCGATCATCGGCCATTGACCGTAATAAATAAAAAATGACTGATACTTTTTTGTCCAAGCTTACATTATGACCGATTATTTTTGGTTACTTGTGACGAAATGGCCGATGTAAATTTAATCGAATCAGACCAGCTACGGCAGAGAAACCTCCCGTGATAAATCTATTTTGTTTGTTTCGAAATTCCAATGCCTAAAAATAAATTACTTCAGTTGTTAGTTTACAGCCAATCCTGGTGCGTGTTACAAATTTGTCGTGACTGGTTCCCCAAATAACCAGTTTCAAGTAAACATGTTCGGCGAAAACAAAAAAAAGAATAATATACAGTACATACAGAGTGAATGTATACACAATATAAAACAGACAATTAACAAAGATAAAATACAAGTACCATTCTATTAAGAATTATGAGAGACATTACATTACCTTAAAACACTTATGATGACCTAGAGCCAAAATTTGTTTTATAAATCTTCCCATCCTGATTTCCTAGTCTTACATGATCTTTTTAATTGAATAAGCCACGAAACTGACTATAAAACAAAACTAGATTGAACTTTTATCTTGAAAAAAATAAAAGTTTTTCATTGGCTTATACATTTCATTTGTAACTAAGTTGCAACTTAAAAATGCAATTGGGACTTGCAGAGCAATGATCAAAAGATACAACCAACCAGTATGTCAAGTAATTGTACTTCTTTTTAATCAGCGATCAGAGCCTGTATTTCCCAATTTCATTATGTGTTACGAAATTCTGGTCTGAAAAGATACAATTTATTTCTCTAATATTTTTTTTTCCAGTTAAAAACTTGTGTTTTTAAAAGATTTTAACACTGGCAGAGACATTTGGAGTCTAAGTTTTAAAAATGTTCCCGGGGGGCATTTCCAAAACCCCCCCCCCCCCCTCCCCCGTCGTTTCGGATCACTTCGTGATCATCACGCTGTGCCCGACTGATGCAACTTCAACTCACAGGACAATTTGTCTGATATAATATTGGCTATACAGTACAGTAGTCCTATGATGGTCAAATTGAAGCCGAATCAATGAGAATGGCAAACTGTAAGAAAGATTCTGAAAACATTTCAATTAGATCTAGTGAGAGGAGGAGTACCT